TTATATGTGCTTTACTCACTTGCATTTCTAAGAATTTTTATGCCTCTCTTTTTTGATTCTTCCTTTATTACTGAATACCCTTTAAATTATATTGCATTATCCCACGCAAAACACTCCAATAGGCGTAGGTCAATGTTCAGCAGTGGACAGTCAACATCTAACACGATAACGGATGATGATAATGATCCTACTCTTAAATTGAAATACAGCTAAAGAAGCACAGATATCTTATGGCAAAAAGACGAGTGGACCGAAGCAAACGATTTTACTGCGCAGTCTCTCTCTGCTAAGTTGTTTTCTATTTGTTTTAATTAAAGTCAAGAAAGGAATAAATCTCTTGTTTCAGAAATTTTATTCGTTTAAACACTTGGACGCATGTTTACTTTACATTAAATAAATATAATACTTAAAACACTAATAATAAATTCAGTTGTTTGTAATTTCACTTCACATTCCTCAAATATCATATTCTATTCGTATTGCATTTATTTGTTTGGATATTGAAAAGACTGAGTGGGCACAGCGAGGGTACAGAGTGCAAATAAATAATTACACACATTCTGTAGATACTTGGCTCGGGGCAGTCGGGACGCCCGAGCAGGAGCATGCCTGCCACAGGGGTGCAGCAAAGCACGCGGGGACTGACTAGTGAAAATTAATTTACATTTTTGTAGATATACGAAATTTTATTTAAATTAATTCGGCTATCTAGGTGTTATTGAGTAACAAATTCACACTTAGATAATAAGATTTCTTGATATGTAGTTATGTAAGCGTACACCTAGTTTTTATAAAAAAATATTGAAAAAAATCTGATGAATCTGAAAAAGCCGGACTTTTCGGTTACCCCAATGTTATAAATTTTATTACTATAGGAAAAGTTTTCTTTATGATTATAAAACTATATGCGTTTATATTTTTTTTTTTTGTAAATTGATAATTTCTTCTTGCTGCTTTATGTCAGACTAGAATAATTACCATGCATTGTTCACCGCTATCCTTCGTAATGGTAAATTTTGGAAGACACCTACCTAATTTTTGTTATTTTATGGAGGTGCAATATAGTTTAATACATGGGGTAAATTAGTCCACTCTGTTTCACTATCATTTCCTTTTATAAAATTTAAGGTATGCTAGTGTATAACTTTATCCGTGGGTTCAATGCCGTATACATAAAAAAAAGCATTTTTTATTAATACGACATTATAGCACGATTTGCGTTAGGACTAACAGATTTATGCCTTTTACAAAATAAATATAAGATGAATTACATGGCATTTATCTCTGATATCTATCACTACCTAATATCGGCATAAAGTGAAGAAGGGATTGGCTGTCAGGTCGGCCTCCACGTGGTCCCCCTTGGAAACTATCATGCTGGAATCCAGGTATATTCATCACAATGGACTAACTGACCTGCTTTTTTTTTACCTATGCTGGCACCAAGGAGAAATAATAAGTAATAATAAATGGTAGGCATATCTGGGCTAAAACGTAAGATACTTTTTTCCCAGATGACGTGGACTAGACCACGACATGCATGTATATTTGTAGTAAATTTATATTTCGTAGGTTATTACAGAAAAATAAATCTTCAAGTATTAAATTATTCTGTAAACTATCAAATATTCCAAATATAACCTGAAGTACATAACGAAGCAAACTTTAAAATTAAACTTTGTTCCATAAAATGTGTGACAATCTTAATTAACTACTTACTTCTTATAATATCTGAAATTTCTACTTTTGAAGCTGGTACAAAATATTTCTTCTCCAATTCATTTTCATTATAGAAGTAGATACGCGCTAATTTGATAGTGGATTTAAAAATAATGACGGTCACAAAAAAATATAAGGACTTTATGTAATGTAGATGTTAACTGGTGTACTGCGAACAATAAATAAATTGACTATCGCTATTGTTAAATTGTCAAAGTAAAAGATTAAAAAAAAAGTTTGTTTTTGAGAAAGTATTTTAGCCCTTTTGGAGGCTATTAATTTATGCCCTAAAGAACTCACCCACTTATTACATCGATCGAAAGACATAATGGAGACATTTCTATATGTATCTGCTTATCACTTAACATTTATCAGTTAGCATTTGGCGGAAAATAAAGACGAAACTGTTAATAGGAAATGAAGGGCGCAGCAGAATAAATGCTTTTGTGCGACATGACGTATTTTAGTGTGTCAATTAGAGTTCTGTATACTGAGAACACAGCGTGTGGCGGCGCGCTCCGCGGGGCACGCAGTTGGGCTCCGAGCCATGCCCGTCCCTAGCCTCATTGCATATTCTGACAAATTTATTGCATTGATTTATAGTAAAATGACTTCGCACATGTTAAATATCATTATTAACGGTTATTAACGATATGTTTACTGCCTTCATTATTAAAGAATTTATTTAAAAAATACTTTGACACTATCCTTTTAATATTTAAGTACCTACTTACATTTTGTCAAATGTAGTACCTATATACTTACGTAAATCTAAAATTTAAAGTACTGACCGATCTGCGTTGCGACGTATTAAGGTACAGTACGTATTTATTTAAAAGATACGGTACTAATTTTCAAACAATGCTTAGGTACCATTGTGTTTCCAAAATAAATGTTTGATCTTTACAACATGCAGTTAGCCCATTGAATAATAATTTATTTCTTCCTTGAATTTTATTAACGTTACAACAAAAGGTGTTCAGAAAACCTTTTTTATGGGCTGCAATAACCTATAGACGAAAAAGCAATTATGATTTTGTTAGCAGTCGCTACTATAAGCGCCGATGTTACCTGCTGCGCTGCACTATAATTACATCGTGAATGACATTTTCAAAGCTTTTGAAAACGATAACACGGAAGCTGCGATAAAAACTTAAAAAACTTAGCGAACATTGTTACTATAATGGATTTGGGAGTAAATATTGAGTAGGCACAAAACAGGGTCCGACAACCCTTAAATATAGTCCGCGGGGTGCCATTAGCCCGGCTCAAAGAGTTGGGTGTCGCCGACGGTGCTGCGAGCGACTTTGTAAATCTAATTAAAATATCAATATGTTTACTGGAGTCCGTGTCGACAATTTGATTTCACGCTTCACGCCCTCACCATTGCATTGCTGCTGTTATTCTGTTAGTATTCATCGCAGTCTAAAACTAAGGGGCACTAAAAAGAGCAGTCGCTATGAACATCACAAATAATGTGCATTTGAAATAGATAACTTATTTTATAAATTTTCGGAAGGAACATCGATTATACACATGTCATGATATTTTTATAAAATTAGAACACAATAAAGTCTACGATTCGGCTATGAAACTGTCATGCATTCTTGTAGAGCGGCGTGAAGGGCTGTCTGTCGACGCGTTATCCAAACTACCCTTATTTTCTTACATAATAGATCCAGGTAGCAACACAAACAGCAATAAAAACGTGACGTATCAATTGCATTTTTTGCCAAAGACGTAAATTCGCACAAATCAAACATTGAAGTGTTAAAATTTTTCGATAACAAAGCCTGAAAGTCGATGAAGTTGACAAGAACGAAGCACAAGGCGCATTGTGTCACAGAATCATTAGTTAGCAGACGTCACACCCTGTCACACCGATTTTGCTTTACAAGAAGGTTCAGACGTAAACATCCTCAAGCAAGATTTATGATGCACAAAATTATTTATTTAGAACTTTTTTCAATAATCACAACGTACTTCTAAGTAAGTAGGAGTACACTCGCTAAGTTATTAAAATTTAATCAATATCATTGTTCTAAATATAATAAATATAGACAAAAATTCGTTTTTTGTAAGATCATTTAAGCACACATGGTGTAATCTAGTCACAGGTTTCACAACCCATATTACGTCATATACCTAATAATTTAGAACAATATTTCGATCTGGTATTGTAATGATGGGTACATTGTTTTACATGCTGCATTGCTCCCAGGTATGATAGCAGTCAAGCCAACAGGAAATATTTTTTTTTGAGTTTCAGGTTATATCCAGACGTTTCTCATAATACAGGTTACCTTATTTAAAAATTGACAATTGGCATGATTGTGTAGCATCTACGTAGTATTTATATTATTCGTAATATACTATCGACTACTATTAAAAACTGTTGAAATATTTAGATAGATCATGTAATGTGTAATGTACTCTACCTACTAAACTAAAAACTAGGTTAAAAAAATTAAGCTTTCAACAGCTCGATCCGAAAGGATTTTAGCTCACGTCTTTCAACTGTGTTGATTACGTTTTTAGTCACATCGAAGAGAAATGCATTCGCATTTTTCTACTTACCTACCTAGTAGTTAAATAATTATAATAAAAAACAAATGTTGCAATACACGGCTGGAGCGATATTTCATCGCTCTATTCTCTCGCAAAACGTGAACCCTTTTTTTGTTTTCTATTACAATTGTCACCCTTTCACTTCCATTTCAATTAAATAATGTCTGGTCATTTGGGACACAGGACTCTGTGTGTTGTTGCGCAGTGCGCAGTATCGTGTTCGCGCCTCCCTTTAACCCTTAGCGCAAAGTGCGCGTCATCCTGTGAGCACATTAATCACTTCCATTATTAAATGTGTTATTGTGTTCATTTGAAGATAACGTTTTATAAACGGTGCCGTCCGTCTCTAACAAAATAAGCTTCTGTAATAACGTGTAAGGGATCCGCTTGGAGAGAGATTGTCGTAAAAACTGTTGATTAATGATAAGTAATGGTTCATTGATTGAAATATTAAGCGGATTTATTACTACAAAATAATATTGATATACGAGTAGTTATTAGAAATATAGTATGGTATCAAGATGTAAGATATAGGTATAATGCAACTATTAAGCAATATTAAGGTTTTTACGCTTAACGGGAAATCCCACATACCGAAACAATCAATAGGTTCTATTGTGGAAAGATTAATTAAGTAATGACGTGCATCAATATGAAGACTGGACAACACACGACGCTTCTATAATTCGATACAAGGACATGCGATACGTTACCGGCGACAGAACCTGCCTCAAGGCTTTGTAACGGTTTTACCAACACGCGCATCTCATCCGTCGTGCTTCTGTCTATAGCTCAGTTTGTAGCGATTGAGGCTCTTGAAATAGTCACGAACAGGAATTTCCGATCTCGCTTGATATGACATTTGTGACGCAATCTCATCGAGGTCTGCCGGAGGCTCGGCAAGCCGTAGACTTGTTTCTGAGAACGACGTAAAAGCCATCACGTCGATTAAATCATCGTTTTCCTTATTTACTTATGTAGATTATTTATATCTAACGCTAACCAGGTACGTTTTTCCCATGTCTTAAAAAATATGTTAAGTACAAATGTAATAAAACAGTGTATATATATATATATATATATATATATATATATATATATATGTAAATCTAGATAATATCCTTATTGCTTAATCTTTAATTAATATTATAAATGTGAAAATAAGTTTGTTCATTTGTTTGTTAATTATATGGCATGGAGAAGGATATAAGCTACTTTTTTTATTTTATTATGTAAAAGCTAGTTTATTTATGATATTATACTTGAGCATAGATAGATCAGCAGATTTCTACATATTTTTTAAATCCAATGAACAGTTAGTGCAAGGATGTAATCCATATTCTTCGTTAATAATTTATTGTATAATTAAAATTACTAAGTGAATACGTTTTTTACGCATAACTAGGTAATCAATGACGTTTCACGATGACGGATCATTTTAAGCCGGTTTGCATTCTACTCTATCTATATAAGAGTTTATACAGATGTATACAGTAGGAATTGCCGATAATGACTCACAATCAATTGTAATGAACAATGCATACAAATACGTTGGGTTAAATTGTTATTATGTTAGGTACGAATAGGAATCTATTCATATTAAAAACTGGCCAAGGGTATATCGACCACGACATAATAGGGTTCTGTAGTTATGTTCTTCATTATATAACCATTAGTGACTTGGTTACTAATACGTACTTACATGAAGAGAAAGGGGTTGTTAGTAATGGGGTCTAACTGTCTCAGTGTTAGCAATATATCCTATCAGGTCGACCTCCACGTGGTTAATTCTTATAGAATTCGTCACTATAGACCAACTGACCTGTTTTCATCCGCATCTATCATCACTCACTGATTCTCCGCCAGCATATACACCGCCGTTAGTACAGGCGAGGTTACCTATCTATTATCATTCATTTAACAAATACATACATATTAACATGAAGTGTAATTTTTTTCATTATGTAAAAGTTTACACCTACAGTACAAATATCATAGTGCTTATATTGTAAATAGAACTTTGCATCTAATACTGGATATATTAAGTACAAAGCTCCAAGTTTTTTTTAAATGTATTGGTATATATATATATATATATATAAGTATGTACTTCTGCACTTCTGATTAAAAAATTAAATCTACCTATATCAACTTTTAAATGAAATTGTTTTTAGTGTTTTGAATTCTGGAGCTAATTTATAAAATTATTTTTATACTAGAATCTATATATTATTTTTTTTACTAGCTATTACTTATTATTAGATAAAGTGAAACTTAGTGAAAAGATTCGAGAAAGAATCTATTATATTTAATAATACTAGATCGGAATGATGAACTTGTTTAGTTTTTCCAAGCTATCTATCTGAGTACAGATATATTAATAATAAAATAGATACCTATTTTTTATTTTTTATCAAAATCGATCGATCGACAAGAAGAGAAATTAAATCTAATATTGCTGAAGACATCGCGTAACATAATACTCACGAAAAATACAAGTGGATTGATTCCTCTTTTCAAAGTCGCTTCAAATTGAGAGTATAATTACAGTTGTATATAACTACTTAATTACAATATGGACGTCAATATCATAAAACAAAATAATTTACTGAATAATTTAGATTCGACGATGATGAACAAGTCAATCAGAACACGTAGCTACCTACAAATTTGTAATTAGAAAACGTTTGTCGATAAACTAATAACAGTAACAGGTTTAGATATAGTAGTACCTACTCTATTTTAGATAATTTAATTTATTCAGATTTTGCTACTCATATAAAAAAATTATGACACGTAGGTATTTTACATTACGTAAGCTTGTCTGGTTTATCCCGTGTTTTAGAAATTGTGGTAATTAATTACGCTGGCCTGTTAATTTTTCCCAACGTTACCATTTGAAAATTTTAGGACTAATCTATTACCGCACAATAAAAACGATTGGGTTTAGAAACGTGTAGACTACAATTAGTTTCTAGTAACTACTAGAGACTAGAAATTGGATCAACAACCAACAGCGTTCATTAATGGCACTAACAAAGATTATTTTAACAGATTCCATACGTGTAAATCCAATGAATTTTCCTGTAGTCTACTACGTAGGTAAAATAGATTTTAGATATGGTGAATAAGGTACTGCTCAAATCTATAGGCGACGGTTACCACTTTCCATCAGGTATATACTGACGGCCCACCTGATGGAAAGTGAAACCCGCCGCGTAAAACAAAAATCTCAATAGATGCCAATCCGGCCCAACACGTTCGTAACAGTCTGCAGTTCGGAATTGTACAGTTTAACAAAAGCTAATTTTGTTGCATTTTATTGCTTTGAAATAGGATCAGCAGTCATTAGGGCGCTTTTTGCCACGCCTTTTATTAGGGTGTCGTCCGAAGGCCACGCGGTAAAAGACAAAGCACTGACCGGAATCACGAGCATAAACTAAGTTTGACGGCTTCTTTGCTCTTTTATGATCACCCGGTCGTTTGTTTCGACGACTGAGAATCGATCCTCAATAACATAATTATTACAAACAGTCGAAGAATTTACTAAATCTAATGTTATTGCTTTTTGATATTTACTTTATATATTTTTGAATTACTATTTAGTTTTAAAACAGTTTCATAACAAAACCTATACAAAACAATGCGAAACAGTAAAAGAAATAGCGAAACAAAAAATATCGTAGAAGGGTAGCGAACTGGTAACTGGTAGCGAGGAAATAAAATATAAAACATTGTAACAAATGACTCTACTGCCCAAATGTGTGTCTCACATTAAAATACATGTTAATGGGAACACGTTGTAACCCTTTCTTTATGCTTAAAGTTTTTATTGTTTTATTCATGGGTCAATGTGTACTTTTTATTATACAACTGTTACTATGAATAGGTTTATGAATCAATTAATTAAATGTCTCAACGGTCATTGTCACTGAGTAAATATGGAAATGAACCGGTAAGTAACAATGCTTTGATTTATAGGCCGCGTCGCTATAAAAAGTTTGCACCCAAGGTGAGAATTGTAGAACATTTGTTTGGCTGACGGTTTGATTATTAAACAATACAAATAACCTCCTTTATATTAATAAGAATACAGTGTGTTTATATTTGATCGAAAAACATTATTGTAATAAATTTCATTGCAATATCATTTTTCATATATCTATCTTGAGAGTAAATGACACCCACTCTTATTCATAAAAACGTCAAACGTCTCATAAACATATTTTAGTTATTGAATTCCTTTGTCTTTTTCTTTTATGCTTCATACCCAATTTGAAAGAAAGTAACAAAATAGTTCAATAACTAAAATAGGTTTTAGAAGGATTTTAATAAGAGTGTAAGTTTTTAGCATTTTTTTAAACTTACACCCCAGGAAAATTAAGATACAAAATTTGTATGGGGTTAACCATTTTAGAATCTTAAATTTTAATATTTGGACTATTATTCTAAAAAAAGAAATAAGTGTTCTAACATTTCTGGAAAGGCATCCTCTAAGTGTTTTTATGGTAAAAATTTGTGTGACGATAGATATATCGTCCGTCATTTAGCTTTTGATTATTGGTACTAAAACGCACCTTTATTACGTGAAGAATACATAGAATAGTTAATACCTTTGTAAAAATAGGTATTACCAAAACTGATAATAATTTTGGCAATAAACCAACTTGAAAAAAGGAGAAGGTTTTAACCTTATTTTTTTTTACTTACGGGGAATTTCTATATAAGTAAATTAAATACGTTGTAAGATAAACCTATCTTGTACAGTAGATAGGTAGGTAGACGATTAAATGAAAATAAAAAAGGTTAATAACATTTAAATTGCTTTGTATCTTATTTTTATTTTTAAAACTTATGTTAATTTTATTTTATTTTTGTTTTTTTCTGTATTTTTTATTACTATGAGAAATTCAAGGGGAGGATAAAATCTAGTCAATTGATCCATTATGACGAATTTACAAGGAATTAACCACGTAAGTTTCCAAAGGGTTTACGTGAAAAATTAATTGAAAAAGTATGTAATGATATTTTATTTTAATTAATAATTACAGAATATTAACTACCTAAATTTTGTACAGTTATTATTTATTAAGAAAAATTTCCTATTTTGGATGGCAAAAAGTATCAATACTTTTTTTGCCTGCGTTGCTGACCATTGAATCACAATTCCCAACAATTTAAAGCAAAGTCGTCCTTTAAACTAAAAACACAGCTTCTACAGCTGCTGTTCTATGCAGTTCTATGCAGGCAAACTATGTCCCTGATTTGTTTCTTTGCATTAGCCATAAGCAAACAATAAGTATTTACGTCTAACAGTAACCATGCTGAATTGCAAACTTTCGAAAACGGTTTCTTATTTTTTTGTACGTTACGTGTTTATATGTTTCTAAAGACGGTATAGACCTTTGTCAATTCTGAACTGATATTGAATATTTCTTTACTAATTTGATAATGTTGCTTACATTGATTTTGGTCTCACGTTAATTGTAAGAATTGAAAGTGAAGTAATTTAAAAAATAATATGGCAATTAAAAGAATTAAACATACTATTTCAAGTAGTATTTTAAATAGTACTAACGTCTATATTAGATTATAATGGCAAGTAAAATAGTTCACTAGTCCTGAATCCCACGTCACTTTATCTATACTAATATGTATGTATTTATTTAAAAATAAAAAATTTTAGTAGGTACAATTACAACGATTTTATACTCGTATCACACTGACAGAGTTCACAAACGAAATTATTTTTATCAAACAGGACGTGGTTAATGGA